AAAAGGGTTCTTTAGTTTTACTACTACTAATATCACTAGATGGTAAAATGCAACAGCGAGATGTCCTAAATGGTACTCCTTACCCCGTCTTACCCCGTAAAAATTTTAATTTACTTAGCCTTGCTTCTTCAAAATTTGTTTTCTTCGTGGCATCTCCATCCTCTATTCTCCATCAACACGTGTATTCAAAGCTCACTATTTTCCCATGAAAACTATTTCTTTTCCTTTCTTTGTCAAAAATATTTCTTTTCTTTGTCACAAATATTTCTTTTCTTTGTCACAAATATTTCTTTTCTTTGTCACAAATATTTCTGTTCTTTGTCAAAAATATTTCTTTTCTTTGTCACAAATATTTCTTTTCTTTGTCACAAATATTTCTTTTCTTTGTCAAATATTTCTTTTCTTTGTCAAATATTTCTTTTCTTTGTCACCAATATTCCTTTTCTTTGTCACAAATATTCCTTTTCTTTGTCACAAATATTTCTTTTCTTTGTCACAAATATTTCTTTTCTTTGTCACAAATATTTCTTTTCTTTGTTACAAATATTTCTTTTCTTTGTCACAAATATTTCTTTTCTTTGTTACAAATATTTCTTTTCTTTGTCACAAATATTTCTTTTCTTTGTCACAAATATTTCTTTTCTTTGTCAAATATTTTTGTTCTTTGTCAAATCTTTTTGTTCTTTGTCCCAAACATTTCTTTTCTTTGTCACAAATATTTCTTTTCTTTGTCACAAATATTTCTTTTCTTTGTCACAAATATTTCTTTTCTTTTGTCACAAATATTTCTTTTCTTTGTCACAGATATATTTGTGGGGGGGGGGGGGGGTGTCACAAAGTGTAGTTTTCATGTCCTTGGCGCACACTGTGCTAGTCTCACACATAACACCAATCAACACTTGATATGGGATGTGGCTAACGTTACATCGGCTGCCTTTACCTCCCCGGGATATTGACCGGTACCCATTTGATGCTGGGTCGGCATGGGCGGCAATGTCAGTTATACAAATGGAGGGAAGGGGGGTTTCGAACGCGAGACCTGAGGGCTGACAGGCGTGCTTTCTTTGTGGGTATCTAACTCACAATAATCTTTCTTATTATCTATATACTTAGAATGAATACGTTTGCAGTTTTCTTCTTCATCTTTCCCTGACAGTGTTCGTGTACAGTACATAGCTTCTTACACCGTGCATGTGTGTTTTAATGACGTGGCAGACCTCGTTATAAAGAGAAATAACTTTATAGAGAAAAAGATGAAGAAGAAGATGAAGAAGAAGATGAAGAAGAAAATAAAGAAGAAGGAGAAGAAGAAGAAGAAAATAAAGGAGAAGAAGACGACAAACAACAACAGATAGTATTAACGCTGCTTTTTAAACGAGAGTGGAGCGAATTAAAATGCACCTGGCATTTGCACACATGACTTGCTTTTTCTTGTCGTTCACTAGCAGCGTCGCACAACGCATAAAACTCTGTAGCTCCGACTACGACTCCTCCTGGAGATACCTGAGATACTACTGGAAGTACACAGTCGGAACCCGGAGACAAACAGCTGAAACCAGTTCGCGGTGTTTACGTGCCCTCGGGTAGTTTGCGACGGCTTTCTGTGCTAATCCTGCTTCGACACTAGTAGTGTAAACCAGCGGTTCTCACATTGTGGGTCGCGACCCTTCTTTGGGGTCAAACGACCCCGTCACAGGGGTCGTCTAAGACCATCGCAAAACACATATTCACTGAAGATATGATCCAGCAACGAAAATAACTGTATGGGCGGGGGTCGCCACAACACGAGGAACTGCATGAAAGGGTCGCGGCATTGGCAGGGGTCACCACAACACGAAGAACTGCATGAAAGGTCGCGGCATTGGCGGGAGTCGCCACAACACGAGGAACTGCATGAAAGGGTCGCGGCATTGGCGGGGGTCGCCACAACACGAGGAAGTGCATGAAAGGGTGGCGGCATTGGCGGGGGTCGCCACAACACGAGGAACTGCATGAAAGAGTCGCGGCATTGGCGTGGGTCGCCACAACACGAGGAACTGCATGAAAGAGTCGCGGCATTGGCGTGGGTCGCCACAACACGAGGAACTGCATGAAAGGGTCGCGGCATTGGCGTGGGTCGCCACAACACGAGGAACTGCATGAAAGGGTCGTGGCATTGGCGGGGGTGGCCACAACACGAGGAACTGCATGAAAGGGTCGCGGCATTGGCGGGGGTGGCCACAACACGAGGAACTGCATTAAAGCGTTGCGGCATTATGAAGGTTGAGAGCGAGTAGAGTAAACCAAGGATTTACAAACTGCTTTTCCCCATTTTGTTAAACAGCTGAAATTTCTGCTGCAGGTGGGTAGGTGGAGTCTCTTTTCTTAACTGGCGTTTGATGTTAAGTGAATATGTGGAGACAGGAGCTTGAGTTTCAAGGCCAGATACTGACTGCACAAATTTCGTGTTTGCGTTGCAGCTTTCCAACGTCTTTTTTTATATTCCTGTCTCTATGTTCCAGGCTGGTTTTTTTTTAAGCGGGCAGGGTGGGGTGGGTGTATACTATTGCTGTGGCCCCAAGCTTGTCCTCGGTAACAAACTTGCATTTGCAAACAGTTAACGAAAAATTGTTAACGGCGTTAGCGCAGCTGGCATATGCTAGACTAATATGTGTATGGACCAATCTGCACTAGATGGCTGATGTGGTCAACATCACATCAGCCGCCTTTACTTCCCAGGACTTTACATGTTTAAGGCTGGGTCGACCTGTATTTGTAACAGGGCTTTTGTGTAATCATGACAGGCATTATTTTCGGGATAGGTTTTACTGTCAGGGAAAACGGTAGAGAGTCAGTGAGAGAGTCTTACAGATACAGAGAACAACAGAGAGAGAGAGAGAAAGAAAGAGAGAGAGAGAGAGAGAGAGAGAGAGAGAGAGAGAGAGAGAGAGAGAGAGAGAGAGAGAGAGATACTGCTTCGCAATGCTGCATTAAATACTAAAAAGTTAAAGTTAAATGTCGAACAGCTTAGGAAAGGCAGCATTTTACAAAATGAAGAATATTCCATACGAAATTTCTTTGACAGTTGAGATGAGAAAGAGAATTCTTACAAGCTATACAAATCCTATCTTGCTCTACAGAAGTGAATAAATGACAGTTATTAAATTAGTAAACACTTTTTTTTTGAAGCTGCGGAGATGTGGTTTTATAGTCGGAGATGTGGTTTTATAGTCGGAGACGTGGTTTTATAGTCGGAGACGTGGTTTTATAGTCGGAGACGTGGTTTTATAGTCGAATGATGAGAGCACCCTGGACAGATAAGAATAACGGAAGACGTCTTGAAAGAAACTGACCCATGAAGAGAACTGATTGCCCACACCAGAAAGAGAAGAAAGAAAGTGTGATGAGAAGGACTGAAGTACATCACGACAGTAGAAAAGTTGGAGGGGAAAAGAGGCAGAGGGAGACGGAGAGACAAGATACTAGACAGTTTGATATCATGGCATGGAGGATCATCTGTGTCAGAACAGACTGAAAGTACACTTGACAGAAGACTGTGTCCCGGCATGAACTGTCAGAAGAAGCTGCATCAAAGTTACACTGATATAAACATACACATATGGAAGCAGACAGATATCTAAGGACCGGTAAAGCTTACATCTGATAGGAATACACTTACTGTTGAAAGGAAGCTTCAAAGAATCGCTCACAGGGTATCAGGAAATGTTATCTGGGAGATTAATTCTCAAGGGGGTAGTGTCAGATGTAGGATTAAATCTGCTTCGTATCACTGGTAATGTAGTGGCTAGGAAGTGGACTTGAGAGAGTAAGTTTAGAACCTAGCTCATTATAGTGTCTGTGTTTGTGAACCACCGAGTAAGGTAACCATTGGGTCCCGTTTTTTTTTAGGTAAGTCAGAATGCTCCCTTTCTCGGCCCAAAATTGTTCCGATTTGTCAAGGAATAGTCTAGAGAACAGAATATATATAGTTAAATATGTAGACCATTATCATTTTAAATAAATTTTAGTTATAGTTTAATGTCTGAAATGTGCTAATGGGACTTTTTAATGCAGCGTTTGTTTTTCTGTTTCTCTCTTTAATGTAACTAAAGAACATATTTGTTCGTTTATTTCTTATCCATTATGAACGTTCCTGCCACTTTGCTCTTGTACGCTCGTTCATTCCCTCGCACTCCACCGCGCGGACAGTATAATCACGAGGGTCGATGTAGTGTACAAGTGATTATGCTGGATATCCACAAACGTCTAGGCTTTCCAAGTCCATTTTGCATTGTCCAATTTACCGACTGAGAATCAGACGTAGTTCTTACCCGGGTGGGTTCCAGGGCCCTATTATAGGGAATACAAGAATAGACACACTGCCTACCCAAAAACAAGAGTCGACTAATTGGGAGCTTCCTTCGAAGTCGAAGTGCACCTGTCTGAGAGGCGAGGAACCAGCAGTCTGCACACAAATGATCAGATCTGTAAAAGGATGCACATGCAACACTCAGGTTCTGGAACAGGACTGCAGTCCAGAAGTGGACGAGCAATCAGAGCTTTCCGCCCGAGTTTAAAGCTGGTGAACGCGAAGAAGAAGAAGACGTAGTTCTTCTGGTAACTCTACTATCTACTTCAGAGATACCATGACTGCCTCCACCTCCATCCCCAAGCGTCTAGTATTTTTTTTTAAAGTAAACAAAATTGTATTCTGACAAAACCTTCTCTTCACTACAGCTGAGACATTCCTCAGCGTTTGATTGCCCGAAATATGAATAGCTGATTCTACAATCAACAGTAACTCAGTAACCTCACACTGTTATCAGGCTGATAAAAAGGTGCCGAAGGCACCGCGAACTTCCTTGGAATTTACCATCCCTAATGCAATGACAGCTGTCACAAATCAAACATCTTAACCGACAATGAATAACAAGATCCGGTTAAAACAGTATAGTATAGTTCATTGAGGTGTTCAAGGAAAGAAAACGTCTTCAAACTTTAGCAATTCTCGCAGCTAGTGAATGCCCACAAGGAGAATCTCTCAAGTGAAACTAATAGCCACTTTACAGACAACCTTTTGGTGTGTTCACCATGGTCGACACGAAAGTAATATTATGCGGATCGCCCGGAACACAAAGAAGTGGCCCAAGGCTGTGAAACCGTCACCGAATTGATATTCAGACAAATCGCAAGTTTTGAATGGTGTCGTTTCGTGTTGTGTTAAGGTACGCGGAGCGTGTACAAACCTAACAGTTGTACTGAGTGTGTGTACAGCCTTGTATAGACATATATAGAACGCGGTTATAAAGTAAGTAAACTAAAGAACCCTGTTACACATCTTAAAGCTTATTAGGCATATAGGGTTAGACCTATATTGTATAGACCAATAAGCAGTCGGTAAGTTGATTCAAGAACCGACATCAAAGCATTAGGGCATTCCCATAAGCGCTCTGTACCCATCTTCAGCTGTCAGCGAAGAGTTCCGATACTAATGGTGCCAATAGCATTCTGATTAAACGCCCGTCCTGCCTTTCCCCTGAACCTCTCGTCACTCCCCCTTGCATCAATCTCACTAGACTGTTGTGATCCATCTGCTCCTCCAAACTGTACACGTTCTCCCACAAGGTACTAACATCACTGGTGAGTGATGATAGTGTTGGCACGTCTGACGACTGCCTCATGAATTTACTTAGCGTGCTGGAGTTTCAAGATTTTACTGGGGCTGACATGTATTCACTATTTTTCAAACTGTGACAGTGGAGGAATTACGTGTGATTTGCACCATGCAACGGTGCAGTTTTAGGGCAACACGTCTACGGTGATGTTGAATCCTTGACAAAAGATTAACTTGGTAACCACCAACAAGACGGAGACAGAGCCACGGGATGACAAAGAGATCCAAACGGATGGCGCTAGAACACTGAATTGATCAACGATTCTGTTAATCGAGCGGGGTTGCAAAACATGAAAACCTATGGTTGTCGGCAAGGTACATGATGTTGATGCCTTTTTTAAAAACATGATGGCCTGTGCTGGATAAGGTATACATTGAATAAACTTGACTTTCCCGCGCTCCAGCGTAGTCGATAGCGCGTTGGAGATCTTGTGACAATCCCCATGTGTGTCCGGTCTCGGATTCGATGGCAGAAAAGCCGCATACTCCCCAGATTAAAGGTGTAGGTGGCACCGAGGCTGAAGAGCTTTAATGCTCTGAGACAAATGAGCTATGCTCGAGTGTTTCTGATTTAGAAAGACAAAAGAATGAGAAACAGTGCACTAAATGTCCGTTCAATGAAATCATAAAGCCAAAAGAGATACACTGTGCTGAGGGTTGGATAAAAACGTCACTTTTAACTCTTTCAGTCCCAGGGAACGCATCACACGTTCATTGTTTCCACACAGAAGCCAAAGAAGGCAAGATGCACCAATTTTACGACTTTCTTTGCTATCCCTTGGGCCTTTGTTACTAAATCTCCTGAATCTGAAAGAGTTTAAGGGATCAACCATTTGATTGCGCACTGAAGTATCCCTGATCTGGCAGCGTGGCCAGCGTGTAATCCTGGAATGGTAATTATGACCTTTGAATGTTTTGGCGTTTATAAGTGCCAACTTCTGTGGGTTTCGCTGCCCCATTAGGAGAGGGGGGTTAGGAGAACAGACCCACTGCCCCCCACCCCCATTAATCAGGAATGTTTTCTTTGAAGTCGCAATGCATTAGCGTGAGATGCGAGGAACTACAAGCCTGCACACAAATAAGCCAGACACGTAATACGCATGTGCACACAACACTCGAGCTCTGGAACAAGACCAAAGTCTAGAAGCAGACGGAACAAGGAGAAATTCCCGCCGGAGTCTGCAGCCGGTGAGAGCTGGGATGCAGACGATTAAGTGCCAACCTTCAGATGCTAATGTCTATATGGTCGGTCAGCACGATCGTTTTGTTACACATAACCTTGCAGACACTGTATATAAACAAGTTCTGTCGGTGATTTTCTTTTGTGTGTGTTCATATCTTATTAACAGAGGCACATCCAACGAACACGAACTTCGACCAGGCGTTTGTCAAGTTTCTAGATGGCGGCAAGTACTGGGGTGGCGCCGTTGCTGCCATGAAAGGCGGCAAGTTGCTGATTGCTAAAGGATACGGCACTGACCAAGATGGGAAAGAGGTAGTATGTCTTCTCTTTTTTGCGTTATATTTAGGAAAGAGTTTGTACATCTAGCTATTATACGGTACATGTATATCTAAAATAAAGACTACATATTCTGTGAGTTACATGTTATTGCTAGGACAGATGTAGTGTATCCTGTATTATTTATGCTATCGCTAGGAAACATGTAGTTTATTATGTATTTTCTGTATCTCAAGGAAACATGGTATCTCTCTAGGAAACAGGTAGTATATTCTGTTTATCGTTATCTCTAGGGAACAGGTTATTCTGTTTTCTCTCTCCAGAGTATAACAGGTATCAGGAAAACAGGTAGTATATTCTGTCATCCTCGTCTAGGAACAGGGTATTCTGTTATCGCTCCAGGAAACAGTATATATATAGAAACGGGTAGAATATCATGTTTTCTTTCCGTGATCCCTCTGGAAAACATGCAGCATACATTGTTTATTGAAGGTTACCTCTAAGAAATAATAGGTTGTTTATACAGTCTTTGCTGTATCTATATATATATATTATATATATATATATATAATATATATATATATATATATATATATATATATATGTAGTGTGTGTCTGTGTGTGTGTGTGTATGTGGTGTGTATATATATACACCAGGTAATGACAGAGCTGACAGACTGGCAGAAAGGAGCAACACAAGAACAACCACCTACAGCGACAACCATACAGACAGCAAAAACACTTAAAAGAGCTGCAAAACTAAGAGACCTGGCTGAACAGATGAGCCATGGGAGACACTGGAAGAGAGGTGTGTGGATTAAGAATGGCAAGCTTTGAAAACATGAGCATTTCATTCCTGGTGAGTTGCTCTGTGGATGTGAAACCGCTACATAATGTATTCAACAGGTGACGCACACCAGCAAGTTCCCAGTGTCCAGCATAGCCAAGTCTCTGACCGGAGTGGCTGTTATGCAACTGATACAGGCCGGAAAGATCTCTTTACAAGATAAGGTAGACTTTGGTGCTTTATTAATATCCTACCCCAAACAGGGAAAAGCCACATGTCACGGGATAGTCAAATATTTCAGGGGGACCTAGGCTGCATGCATTCGTGGGACTTGGGCTACACACTCTCGTGGGGCGTAGGTGGGTTGGGGTTAGGGCCAGTTCTAGATGTTTTGGGGTCGTTAAAAGCAATAGAAAGCCGGGAAACCCAGTCTTACCACCCTCTAAAATACTGAACTGTCCTGTGACGTCATCTGGGGTGCAACGTGCTCTGCTGGGGGTTTGATTCAATTCTTCACATTGCTAACGTACACACAGTTGCTAGGACACACCAGACGATGAACACGTTCAGTTATTGATCTTTAGTCGCTGTTACCACAATCTCACTGACTATGCGCTCCTGGAGATCTCGTGGTACGCTCCTGGCGATCTCGTGGTGCGCTCCTGGCGATCTCGTGGTCGCTATGCATGGCTGATTCTTGATGACCTTGCCAATTATCTCACACACTGATTCTCTCTGCTCATATCTTTCGGATCATACATCTGTATCATACTAACGCATTGTACCTGGAGGAGGAGGAAGAAGAAGAAGGAAAGAAGAAGCGGAGGCGTAGGAGGAAGAAGAAGAAGGAAAGAAGAAGAGGAGGCGTAGGAGGAGAAGAGGTAGAAAAAGTAGAAGAACAAAAAGAAGAAATAACAATATTAGCTATTATCTCCTCACAAACTACCAGAAAAACTCTTGCTCCCTAATCTTAAGTATAATACAGTAACAACATTTAGTGCTTTCTATCTATCCTCAACGAGCTCACATAGAACAATGCCAACTGCTGATTTACAATTCATCTCCTCGTATGTGCAGGTCTTTGGAGAGTCGGGTATTCTCAAGGCCCTGAAAGCCTGGAGGGACACAGTGGACCCCCGATTGTATGACATCACAGTGGATCATCTGCTTCACCACAGCGCTGGATGGGACGTGACCAAACCTCCACTGTACGACCCGCTATTCAACCAACAGTATCAAAAGCAGCATGTAAGTTCATTAGTGCCATACAAGACATTGACGACACTGATAATATGCGTGGTGGGAGAGGAGGGGGTGAAAGATGGGGAGGAAACGGTGAAGACAAGAAAGCTACAGTCAGGAGAGAGAGAGAGAGAGAGAGAGAGAGAGAGAGAGAGAGAGAGAGAGAGAGAGAGAGAGAGAGAGAGAGAGACCTACCCAAACAGATGCAGAGCTATTTAAGGCTGCTTGTACTGCTTGAAAAATGCTGATTACAGTTAGGGTAGCTATCCCATACCAACCCACACTAGACTACATGTTACTCAGTAATACCGTTTTGTTGTGTCCCAATGTAACAGCGCTATATGGCTGAAAGGGGTTTCCGGGATTTGTCCGTTTGAATCTGATCCTTCAGATCCGATGCTTTGCTAGCAACAACAAATCGTCACAATAAACCAGCATCTCCGAAGTAGGAGCTTTAGGTTATAATTGTGACTAGGTAAAGTGAACCATATAAAAATGGCTTAGCACCGCACGCCACCAAGAGCCCTGAAAATGACTCCCGCGGTGATGTCGCGATAAAAGGAGACATACCCAAACACAGCCCGGACCGGCGACGAAGTTGTCTACCGGCGAGCAAATGGGCGACCCGGTCTCATCCTTGAGATGAACGCAACCCTTAAGGGACAAAAAGCAAGTAAGTAAATTTTACCCCACCAGGATTTTACACAGAGCGATAAATACCCGGTGACACAAAGTGTCACTATGCGGATAAGGATCACCCGGGAAGCCGCGTTCAATCGTTAGGCTATTTTGCGGTCCCCGGAAAAAGCCGGGGTGGGGTTTCAAAATAGCGAAATATTGCGTCTCTCAGGGGGACGACTGTAAAGGGGCAAAAACAAAAGGAGAATACAAATCAACAGAGAGATTGGTAAAACGCTCACTTGAATGGCACGAATGCAGCAGGCACGTGGACAGAGTTATGGAAAGTCAGAGGCCGATCAACGGAGATACAGATAGACCGATTTTATGTTATGCGTACCCAGTCCTCCGATGCATCAACCACTCAAAGACATCTCTACTAATTGTTCCCATGAAAAGTTTATAGTATCTTCTGTCCACCCTCCAGACAGATTAGACACACAAAAAAGAAACGGATTTAACGTAGGTCACTATTAGATCAAGTACAAGGCATATCGCCGCAGCAAATACTCTTGGAATAAAGCGCAAACTCCCTTCGCTGTAATTAAACACACAACAATGTACATAAAATCCGCATGGGAATTTTAATAGCCTCCCCAAAGAACCACAAAGACAGCGGAAACGGTTATGCACCCGAGCAATAAGAAACGTACAATGTAATGTGAGCAGAAACCAGGGCTTCTCACTTGTTTACCATAGCACTCGTGTCTTATTATTAATCCTAGCTCGTTCAGTGGCTTCAATAATTTCGTGTGCCCGTAGTTGTGGCTTATTATCCCTAACTGTATCTGATGAAGTCCGAACATGTATGGGTCCTTTCTGTTGGTGGTGGGTGGTTTCTGTGACTTCGCTATAACTGCTAACAACGACTTGGTTCTTCTTATATCATGCGTGCTGATATTCTTCCTGAGGTATGTCTTCTCCATTATTTTCGTTATAACTGCTTTTTACGACTGGGCTGTTCTTACATACCGTGTGGTCATATTCTTCCTGTGGCATGTCGTCCCCTCAACTGTCTTAGTAATGACCGCTATTTACGATTGGGTTGTTCTCCTTAAATTTCGCGTGATGACATTCTTCGTGAGGTATATTGTCATCTCAACTGTCTGTGAGGTCCTTGTCCTTTTTCTGGTTGCCCTCCTGTTCGGTGGTCCTGATATAGGTCAATCCTATTGAGGTTCTTTGTTGTCCTTTGAGTGCTCCAGTTGAGTACTAAGACTTTCACAAATTTCACTATGCATCGATTAATCTTATTTTGTTTTAGCATCCTGAATGTCGTTAATGCCGAAACTGATATACATCAAATCAAAGTCTGAAACATAACGGTTAAGAACGTTTAAAATCGTATCCCTCTTCTTATATGGTGAGAAATACAAACTACTGTGTGTGTGTGCGCGCGCAAATGGTCACATTTTAGACAAGGAGACCTGACTTACATTTATAGCCCATCCAAACATCCATCTTTCATTCTGCATTTTTATCTATAAAGCATCTTGTATCATAAAATGTGACTAGACAATCTTATTAGTTTTCAGTTAATATGATTTCTGTTTCTGTTTCATTATTTGCTGATACAAACTGTGGTGTAATGCTTCAGACCAGATACAGCGAATTACGCCAGGCAATTAATTACAAATTTCAAAGCATATTCATTCTAACTCTTTGCTACCAGTTTCAGACATGGTCACTCACAACTAACCATAGAAGAAAATTAGTAACCATGGAAACTATATGTCTGAGAAAGGTTGCAGGAGTGACCAGGAGAAAAAACAAAAACAAATCAGAAATAAGGTCATAATATTAAAAAGTCTACATGTAGCAGAGAGATCCCGGGTTTGGCCAGTTGGCGTTCCAGTGGAAACCATGTTGTATGGGTTACTAGGAGACATCGTCGCACCGCAGTCTTCATCGAGGTCTGTGGCCTTCTCGTCTGAAAACCGCCGGCTGGAGGAGGAGGAAGAAGAAGAGGAGGAGGAAGAAGAAGACAAAGAAGAACAACAACAACAAGAGAGGTAACACCTGCCTGGGGTTGAACAATTTACCTTTACACGTATCCCCCCTAAAACCCAAGTCGAGAACTACTGTTGAATCACACTAAGTCTTAAAGACATACTGCATGGTAGCTATTACAAGAAACCGGGAAACCTGAGAACCAGGTTTTATTTAGACAGGTTTTTGTGACGCCATTTTTGCCAGAGTATTAACGTTTAGAGAATCTGTAGAGCACATGCCATGTCAAGGTTTACACATGTAGACATGCAGCAGCTGGGCCGGTTACAGGTTTGTTGAATGATGGGAGCCAGTGGTGATGGAAGAAACACGGGAGGAATGTGTATTCTGTGAAATACTAGGGGATTTGGGTATTAGAGTGAGGGGAAAAGACGGTTGGGGAGCGCAAGTGTATATTATTTTCAAAGGTTTAAGAATTGAGGGGGGGGGGGAAAGGGGGGGGGTTAATTTTACTCTCCAAGAGTTAAGAATTGGCTATTCTGTAAAGATAGAGACAGAAAGAACTATTTTCAAACGATTACGGAATGGAGAGAGAGAGAGAGAGAGAGAGAGAGAGAGAGAGAGAGAGAGAGAGAGAGAGAGAGAGAGAGAAAAGGCTCCGGGTGAATTTCACTGGTTTATACTGCGAGCTTTGGAAAAACATGTGATTATATCAAGCGAAGGCTTTTGCTTATGTAATTCTTAGAGCGTTCACCGATTGTAAACTTGGGCGGAAGGTCGTGGTGGTTTGCCCACTACTAGACTATCTTGATCCAGAACTTGAAAGTTTTGAGTGCACATACGTTTCACATATGTGGCTTATTAGTGTGCAGACCGTTGGTTCCTCCCTTATCATCTAACTTCAAAGGAAAGACCCACAATCAGCCGCCTCCCACAATACGCTTGTTAGAGACAGTGGGTCTATTCTGTGTTCTCTCAAACGGAACCTATCAACTCCCACTGCGAAGCTTGTGTACAATAACCTTTAAATGTTTTTTTCTGCAACTTTTTTCAGGGCAACGTGCCCAACATGGTCGAAGACTTGGGTTTGAGCCCGCCGCTGCAGGCCAGTGATATCATCCGTTACGTGATGTCCTACTCTCTGAGCTTCACACCTGGCACCCGTACTGCTTACTCTAACGTGGCGTATCTGGTGCTGGGCCGGGTCATTGAGGCCGTGTCTGACACGGAGTACAATGACTTCGTAAAAAGGTAAGGGCACAGACGGTGTCGTCAAAGCACATTTCTAATTGCCCTTATTATACAGATACGCAGACTACCCCATCAAGCCCTCATAAAGGAAACTAAAATGGAGAAGACCAAGAAAGACCCTGCGTGGAACCATCAACAGGAAAGGCTCAACCATGGGCCTAATGAACATCCAAGACATGAAACAAGTGGTAACCAACCGCCAGACATGCAGAACTATGACCTCTGCCCTAGGGGTCGCCTAGGCCCAAGAGGAAAGACTGACTAACTAAATATACATACAGCATCATCATCATCCCTGTCCTATTGGACAAATTATGCCACACAGGATTGGCAGGCTATTCTTCGCCATTCAACTCAATCCTTTGCAATCTCTTCGATATCATGAAGGAAATCCAGCCCAGCACCTTCGGCTTCTCTTATCAAAGTTCGTTAAAGAGTTTCTTTTTGACGTCCTGCTGATTCTCTGCTCGTTTCTTGTCATGATGTGTCCAGCATAGCGCCATCTTCTATTTTATAACTGTTGTTACCAGTCATCAGAATCATCAGTTTCCACTTCAGCCGTTAAGCGCTGTGGGAAGGAACAGTCTGCAGTCCACTGCTGTAGAAGCTCTTTAATGTCATCAATCTATCTTCTCCAAGTGAGGGACACCAATAACAGTCACCCGAAATCTGTGCGGCTTGGTTGTTACCAGTCGTCTACGATCAGGACACTGCAGGCTGAAATACCACATGCATAAAATAAAGAGTGTACAGTCCCCACAGCGTGCCTGTCAAACAGCACCACAAACAACTGAGCATATTCTGCAGACCTAATCACTCTACATACAACTTCGAAAAGACACCTGGCCTCAAGAGCAAAGTATGCAGAGCAAGCTGTGGGGAACCATGAAGGACCTGCTACGGATATGCGAGTTCACAGATTCCATCCACCTGATGGTCTGATGTGAGCACACAAAACCGAACGCAGAAGAAGAAGAAGAAGAAGAAGAAGAAGAAGAAGAAGAAGAGGTTGTTACCAGTAAATATAGATCACGACCTTATTCTAGAGGAGGCGTTGATACAATCTGGAAACGGAGGACGCTTACATTTGTTCTTAGAATCAAAAAAAGTGATTTAAATGTTTTGAAAGAAACTAAGTCACGATGGGAAACTGGTGAAAAAGAGGCGATCATAATTATTTGGCCTCATTTTACAAAGAGAAAGGAAAAGACTGTAGGGTTCGATCTCAGCTACAGACGTCGTGTGTTGGTTTCAACCATGGTATCGACAGCCCATCGTTGAGAGTAATGGCAAAACTGGGGTTAGTTGCGTATCCTTTACAGGACGTTGCAGAACCAACCCAAATAGCATCTGGCTATAGGGTGGTTTTTCTAGGCAAATTTACGACCAGCAGTTTACCATTGCTTCCCGGGCGGTCGGCTTTCTTGATACCACCGTCGAAACCAGCGCAAGGCCCACAGCTGGAATCGAACTCGGCATCCCTGCATTACGAAGCGCTCGCCCGACAGCAAAACTACTGACCGTAAATGTTTATAGAAAAATCACAACAGCTAATAAATGCTAGGGTTGGTCCTGCAACATCCGGTAAAGCTCACACAAACTCAGTCAGGTTGCTACACTGGGTGACTTTGTAACATTACTTCGTCACATACAGTACTGCTACAAATCTCCCTGGCTCCAATTCAGCATTATGTACAGCAATATGCAGAACAAAAGACAATACATTCTATTGTTCTGTTTCTGTGTCATTCCTGAACCATGTGGTATTTACAACATAATACACTTAAATCCTACAATCTAAGATCATCCTTGAACCATATAATATTTACAACAAACGACGCTAATACCCGCCTGTTGTTTCTAGGTACGTCCTTTAGCCATGTAATATTTACAACAAACGACATTAATATCTTTTCGTTCTGTTTCTAGGTACGTCCTTTAGCCATGTAATATTTACAACAAACGACATTAATATCTTTTCGTTCTGTTTCTAGGTACTTCCTTTAGCCATGTAATATTTACAACAAACGACGCTAACATCCTCCTGTTGTTTCTAGGTACGTCCTTTAGCCATGTAATATTTACAACAAACGACGCTAACATCCCCCTGTTGTTTCTAGGTACGTCCTTTAGCCATGTAATATTTACAACAAACGACCCTAACATCCTCCTGTTCTGTTTCTAGGTACGTCCTTTAGCCATGTAATATTTACAACAAACGACGCTAACATCCTCCTGTTGTTTCTAGGTACGTCCTTTAGCCATGTAATATTTACAACAAACGACGCTAACATCCTCCTGTTTCTAGGTACGTCCTTTAGCCATGTAATATTTACAACAAACGACATTAATATCTTTTCGTTCTGTTTCTAGGTACGTCCTTTAGCCATGTAATATTTTCAACAAATGACATTAATATCTTTTCGTTCTGTTTCTAGGTACGTCCTTTAGCCATGTAATATTTACAACAAACGACGCTAACATCCTCCTGTTGTTTCTAGGTACGTCCTTTAGCCATGTAATATTTACAACAAACGACGCTAACATCCTCCTGTTGTTTCTAGGTACGTCCTTTAGCCATGTAATATTTACAACAAACGACGCTAACATCCTCCTGTTGTTTCTAGGTACGTCCTTTAGCCATGTAATATTTACAACAAACGACATTAATATCTTTTCGTTCTGTTTCTAGGTATGTCCTTTAGCCATGTAATATTTACAACAAACGACATTAATATCTTTTCGTTCTGTTTCTAGGTACGTCCTTTAGCCATGTAATATTTACAACAAACGACGCTAACATCCTCCTGTTCTGTTTCTAGGTACGTCCTTTAGCCATGTAATATTTACAACAAACGACGCTAACATCCTACTGTTGTTTCTAGGTACGTCCTTTAGCCATGTAATATTTACAACAAACGACGCTAACATCCCCCTGTTGTTTCTAGGTACGTCCTTTAGCCATGTAATATTTACAACAAACGACCATAACATCCTCCTGTTCTGTTTCTAGGTACGTCCTTTAGCCATGTAATATTTACAACAAACGACGCTAACATCCTCCTGTTGTTTCTAGGTACGTCCTTTAGCCATGTAATATTTACAACAAACGACATTAATATCTTTTCGTTCTGTTTCTAGGTACGTCCTTTAGCCATGTAATATTTACAACAAACGACGCTAACATCCTCCTGTTGTTTCTAGGTACGTCCTTTAGCCATGTAATATTTACAACAAACGACGCTAACATCCCCCTGTTGTTTCTAGGTACGTCCTTTTAGCCATGTAATATTTACAACAAACGACGCTAACATCCTCCTGTTCTGTTTCTAGGTACGTCCTTTAGCCATGTAATATTTACAACAAACGACGCTAACATCCTCCTGATGTTTCTAGGTACGTCCTTTAGCCATGTAATATTTACAACAAACGACGCTAACATCCTCCTGTTGTTTCTAGGTACGTCCTTTAGCCATGTAATATTTACAACAAACGACGCTAACATCCTCCTGCTCTATTTCTAGGTACGTCCTTCAGCCAGGTAATATTTACAGCAAACGACATTAATATCTTTTCGTTCTGTTTCTAGATTTGTCCTTGAGCCATGTGGTATGTGGAACACACGCTTGACAACACAAAACAACACCAAAGTCACTGCTGAAGAGGCTGGCGATGCAGGCTACAACTCTCTGGATCCATTCTCAGCCGATTCGGCCCTAGGGTGGTACTCCAACGTCTATGACCTGATGCGCTTTATGAGGTAGATTATCTGACAATTAACTTATCTTCTTCTTCGCGATCTACGGCTGTTAACTCTGGCAGAAAGTTCTGGTTGTTCGTTCACTTTTGGACTCCAGTCCTGTTCTAGAACTTGAGTGCTGCGTGTACCTTCGTTTCACAGGTTTGACTCATTTACATGCAGACTGCTGGTTCCTCGTCTCTCAGGCAGATGTACTCCGTTTTCAAAAAAAGCTCCTTGTTCCCCGCAGCTGGAGACAGTTGTCACTTGTAAGCATTTGCGTGTGTGTTCCATGGCTGGATTTTGGAGGACAAAGATCAGATCATTCCCCCCCCCCCCCAACAAACATTGTCTTAGGAGGCGACTAATTACGGGTGTTTCCTTCAAAGTGAGAGTGCATCTTCCGATAACTGTACATACAAATAAGTCACATGTGTAAAAACAGATGTGTACACAAACTTCAAGATCTGGGCCAAGACCAAAAGCCATAAGTGGGCGAGCCACCTGGACTAACCAGAGTTTACAGCCGGTGAACATGAAGAAGAACAAGAAGAAAGAAGAGCCTAAAAGTAACTGGTCCAGGTTCCAGAATGGTAACTATAGCCTTGGATTTTTGTTGACCAGTGTGCCCTCTAATCTTTACTTCTTTCTAGGAGTGACAATCATCACCATTCTGTCGTGCTATTCTATGTCACACAGGGATCACAGCCTATTCCTCCATTCTGGTCTATCCTTTCAATATCATGAAAGGAGGCTAGCAATTCTGACCTCTCTCACCAAGGTTCATTTTAGGGTTTCTTCTTGGCATCCTCACTGAGTGACGATCAGTACATGTTCATTTATTTATCGAGTGTAGCATTCTTCATCTTCTTTTGTCGTCTTACTGATATCAGGTTGTAGCCCAATGTCGTGGTTTTTCTGTGTTTGTTAATCTTTATACAGGTTTCTATTACACCATTTATCTATCGCTTTATTGGTCTTAATCTCGCCTTACTCCCACATGTTCTGCTGTAAATAGTATCATATGGGGTTTCGTCTGGCTGAATTCTCTCTAGATAGCCAAACCATTTCATTCTTTGTCTGTCAATATAATCCGGACATGATCTTATTACCTCTTTTTCTCTAATGCTGGTATCTGTAAACTATCTATTTTTGTATTGTCAGTGACTTGCGGAGATAGCTCATTACACATGTAGTTGTTTTCCGTTCTAGTGCCCTATTCATTGTCTATGACTGGCACTGATAACATAAAGAAGGGATAAAGATGATATTTATCATTAATCCTTATGTACTTCTTGGTTTCATGTTGACCTTGTTTTGTTTTTGTTTTTTAAGCTCTAGTTGTTGTATCCATTGAGTTTTCCAGTCACAGTTTGTGCTGTATTTAGTATTCCATTGATAAAGACCTTAGTCTTAACGTTCGGTTATGTTTGCGTTCATCTTCTTCATTGCCTCTTGTTGAGCTTTCTAGTCACATTTTGTGTTATATTTATCATTTCTTGCAATCAGCTTGACTGCAGTCACCCCCTCCCCCCTCCTTTTTTTTCATATTTACGTCAGCACTTTAGCTATATTGTTACTCTGATGACATATACATGCTTGTCTATTTAAACAGGTGCACATTTGAGACGGAAAAGATTCTCAGCAACAAGTATAAGAAAATGCTCTTAGACAAGCCAAGCTCATCACTTCTCGAGGACAATGACTCTTGGTATTCTGCCGGCTTTCATACAAACAGCAACGGCAATGTCTGGCAGGATGCAGACAAGCACACTGATGATTTAATTCTCTATTACAATATGAAGCTACATGACAGTGAAGTGCTAGATCTTCCTGATTCATGGGTCATTCTGCTGCATGGAAATAACCATAAGAAGCTCAAACATGATGCCAAGAACTTGATGTCTTTACTGGATCTGGCTAACCCTACTGAGAATCTATTCTTGTATGATTTGTCCGATCTGTACCAGCATTCCAACGGGGAATCACTTACGAAGGAAAATACTCCCAGCTACACTATCAAATATCAAGTGGATGAACATCGCCTTGTGGCATACACCAGTGCTTTACAGGATGAAGATTTCAATATTATCTGGCTCACATCCTACACTGTTAACCACCACACATTCTTCCTTCTGATTGGTAAATATATTGAACAGCCCACAAGGTCACAATATGATTACATCGTTGAACACGGCATGGACCACCGGCAGCTGCTCAAAAGGAAGCTTCAACTGGAAGAGTCTGGTTATAACATGACTGAGCTGCACAGCTACAGGAGTCAGGCACACAACAACCCTATATCGTTTGCTGCTATCTTCCGGCAAGAAGCCTTTTCTCCAGACATGCAGATGAAGTACGGCACAGGTCATCTTCCAGAGCCATATGAAAAACTAGTACAGATGTACTATGAGAAACAGTTCCATCCCATGTCCCAGACAGTGGTCCATCACGAAGATGAGGAACAGTTCTCATTTATATTCATTAGAGGAACGGAAGTTGAACCTATAGACTTCAAGCATTACTATGACCTTTCAGCTCATCGACTCGCAAAACTAACGGCAGAAAATGCGAAAGCTAACCTCCACTTAGCTTATTTGAATTCCTATGACGTATCTGGCAAGTTTAGAATGGCAGCTGTCTTCACAAATGCAACAGCTTCAGCGGGTAAACTTGACATTGATCAAACAGAACACCAGGCTACAAAATCATTGATATCCAACTTGAAAAAGGGCATGTTTCTCAAGTATATGGTGCCCTACATCGGTGAGGACTCACAAATGAAACTAGCAACTTTTTATGGGGATGAACAATCTCCATAAGTAGATCACATCAAACTGATCAAGAAGTTGTTGTCGGGATAAAACTCTTTTTGGGCCAGGCCACTATATGATCACTTGGTCATCCAAAGACAGTACAAATTTCTGCCTCCTCTTCTACCGCAGATTGTTGCTATATTAAAAACTTATCAATTCAAATTATTTGTTTCGCTTTATCTGCCCAGATTATTATCCATACTTCTGATGCAGACAGTGGCTTTTTCAACTAGAACTTTTCGGGATATTTGTAATTCTAAGCTGATACTGAAAGAGCTGTTTCCTTGCTGACAATTTGTGTACAGGTGTTTGTAATAGACAGAGTGCATTGGATGGCTGTTATGTGAATGGTTACCATACTGACCAGCATTCACAGTGCATAATTTATCACCACTTTCTGCCCTCTTTTTAGTATGAGCAGTGCACGAAAACAAGCTAAAGAAACAACCAGAAAATGCATAATATTGAATGTTGAATCTGCATCCGGAGGATTTTTATAATTGACCTAGGGTTCCCACCACGATCCAGTTTAAATGGGTACCGATAAACGTAGTGGGAAGTAAAATCAGCTGCCATGATGTTAACTGGTAGTCTGGTAGTCTTAGTTTCAGCTTCATAGCAAACGGGTTGCCCCATCTTTGCTCCGCTCCTGTGCCAGCGAAAAACACTCAGAATGTCTATCACAGTCCCTTGTGGAATGATTGACAGACTGCTGTCTCAGCATATCTAGCATACACTCGCATTAAAGCATATGGTAGCCATCCGAAGTGCTAACACAAACAGTCCAACATTAGAAATGCAGTTCATCATTGATGATAGCAGAACTTGTCGTCAACAGATCAGCAGTTGTCCGCGTGATCAATTTTAATACGGGTCCCGCAAGCATTGAACGACAGGCATCGCGCCATTTTCTGAATCTACAATTCACACCACCACGTTGGTCACAGTCGAAAAAAAAACATTCCAAATGCAATCCGCAGCTCACAGGGTCACGCCATGCATTCAACTCAGAAGCTGGGCGACGAAACTATATCCAGTCTAAAAATGGAGCAAAAATGCATCGGCCACCGTCCGGCAGAAGCAAAAAATTTGCCTCTGTTCCGAACGCTGTCTAGCGTCCATTTTAACCGGAAGCATGATGTTAACTGCATCACCCATAGAGTGATGACTAGTACAATATGTCTGACCCCAAAAAAATGTATGTTGTTTACTGACAATGTATAACTTTTTGTGTACTTAACAAATGTGGACCAACGTATCGCACAATTTATCACCTGGATCATATCACAAGCATGCTATACAATTTACATCAATACTAAAGAACAAAAACGAACCAATGAACTGAAATGCACAAAGTCTACTGTTTCACTGTACAACAGTGCTATTCAATTAGCGGCTTAAGGGTCGATTCTGGTGCTAAGATGCCCAGCAAGTAGGCCGTGGATCATTGCCACATATATTGTATTAATGATCTTTCTAAGCTGGAACTATCACATGGTCATCACATGATGATACCCAAGACTTGGGCCTCTATCACATGGTGATTCCCAAGACTTAGGCCTCTATCACATGATGATACCCAAGACTTGGGCCTCTATCACATGGTGATCCCCAAGACTTGAGCCTCTATCACATAATCATACCCAAGACTTTGGCCTCTATCACATGATGATCCCCATTTTCAAACATTTTAACCCCCGGGTAAACTTTGTTGAATAACCATGCTTGACACCCTTCGCCCACACCCCAAATGCAGCATATGTTTTACTGAAAGCTACATTTATTGCAGTCGTCCTGTAAATGTATACAATCAGTTTATTTTCCTTTTAAAGTGAAAGAGAAAGAAATAGGGAGCTTTATGTAAGCAAGAAAAAAATTCAGAAAAAGAAACAAGTCTGTGTAACAAGAGAAAGAGGTGTAAGAAGAGGAAGAAATTGTGTAAGATGAGAGGAAGGGGAAAACAAAGTATGCGTAAAGAGAGGAATATAAAAAGTTAACATGTCCGGGAAGGGGTGGGGGGGGGGGGGGAGAGACGGGACCAGCAAGAAGTTCATGTAGGAACTGGGACACATGAAAAAAAGCTGAAATATTCTCATCTATGACATCAGTGTTGTTAATTTCTTGTAGATAATATTTCAACGTTCATATGCATAATTGTTCATATTGAATTAACATCAAAAGTATCATACACAACTATGTTCTGTTTATCTCCATCAATAAAATAGATGTACAGTACAAGCAATGTTTCAATGATTGTGATGTCTTCTGAGTATAGTTTTAGCACTGGAAGTTGGCTCCAAAAATTCAGATGAAGGAACCCAATAAACCAGAAAAATGTTGAATTAAAAATCGACATCACAGCAGGGAGGACACTCACATAAGTGCTCAGTCCTCATCTTCAGCAGTAAGCGAAGAGTTTCAATTCCGATGATACCAGTAACCTTCTGATCGTATATCCGTCTCATTCTTTCCCTGAGTGTTGAGCGTTGGCCAGATCCCATGGTAACTCCTAGCAGCGCTATTCTCCTCAGACCGTAATGATCTTTCTGCGCCTCCTCACTATTCACTCGCTCCCAAAGGGCCCTCACAATATTTAACTTGTCACATATCAATTCACCCCAAAGTGGCGCACAGCCAGCCAGTCTATCTGCCTGCTCATTTCCCTAACACACCATCATTACCTGGAGAAAATATCCAAAGGATGCTAACTACCCGGGACCTATTAAGTGATGCTTTGAAGTGAAAACTAGACAACAAATTCTTAAGCCTGACAACAGCTGGGTTAATAACTTGTTATTCACCATCCAAATTATCCTTGAGAAATACAACCAAGGCTGCACGACAAGTTCAAGTTTGTATTTCACAGTAGTTAGTAGTTGAGATTTCAACTTCACTGTGAACTGTTTCTTCCCATATCTTCTCTATTCCTGTGCCAGTGAAAGTGACATAAAAGGCTCTTCACTGCCCCATTTTAAAACTAGTGAACACGAAAATTAGCAGTGACAGAATCCAAACAGGCGCACAAAGTAAACACAGACTGCAGACATTGGAGATGCTAACACCAAAAGTCTGCTACTAAAATTAGTGGAAACAGTCGGTCACAACAAAAATGCAGACCGCAGACATTAGAGATGCTAACACCAAATTTATGCCACTAAAATTAGCGGAAGTAGTTGGTTACAACAAGAATGCAGACCGCAGACATTAGAGATGCAAACACCAAAAGTCTGCCACTAAAATTAGCGGAAGTAGTTGGTCACAACAAGAATGCAGACCGCAGACATTAGAGATGCTAACACCAAAAGTCTGCCACTAAAATTAGCGGAAGTAGTTGGTCACTACAAGAATGCAGACTGCAGAAATTAGAGATGCAAACACCAAAAGTCTGCCACTAAAATTAGCGGAAGTAGTTGGTCACAACAAGAATGCAGACTGCAGAAATTAGAGATGCTAACACCAAAAGTCTGCCACTAAAATTAGCGGAAGCAGTCGGACAACAGAATGCAGACCGCAGACATTAGAGATCAAAACATGCCACAAAATTAGCCGAAGTATTTGGTTACAACAAGAATGCAGACCGCAGACATTAGAGATGCAAACACCAAAAGTCTGCCACTAAAATTAGCAGAAGTAGTTGGTCACAACAAGAATGCAGACTGCAGACATTAGAGATGCTAACACCAAAAGTCTGCCACTAAAATTAGCGGAAGTAGTTGGTCACAACAAGAATGCAGACTGCAGACATTAGAGATGCTAACACTAAAAGTCTGCTACTAAAATTACAGTAGTAGTCAGTCACAACAAGCTGGCACTAACAGAGGCAATATTATTCCATAAACACACCATCAGATCAACTAGCCACTCAAGTATTTAACACAAAATACACAGCCAACAGTATTGCACCAAGCATTTAGCTCAGTAGTTTAGCAACAAAACTGTGCACTTCAGTCTCTAAGAGTGGAAACTATGGCCACAAGCAAACAACAGACAACCCCACCCGCTTATTAGGGATACTGCACCGGAATTCCTCAGGATTAAGTCAGTAGTGTTGACAACAAAACTACAACAAAACTTTACGTTCAATAATTCAATCCAAGGGTTCCATGCTGTCATTTGTTTTATATATATAGATCAGTTCCCACTATGGCAATTTCAAATATCTAATGAAAATAAAATGGAGATAGATGAACATAAACATAAAATACTTTGTTAACTTACCTGAATTATATTCTGTAAACTGAAGTTCAGCTGGATATACTGCTTGCACTTGCAATAATAAATCTATGAGTTGGAAGAGAAAATCAACACAGAAGAGTTAATTAACTGAACTGATAAAACATCAACTATAATGTGACTTATTGCTCATTTTAACAACAACAATATAGCTAAATGCCTCATGAAAAACAAGAGGATCCATAACCTCACTTATAACTTTAATTATTATGATTATTGCATCACTACATATAAATCTTGGTAGGTTATAATGTTTGCTAAATTTCAGTAACTATTTAATTACAATGGTAATACTATTACCATACTTACACGGGACATGTTTATAGATAATGTCCTCTAGTGGTGTGTTTATATGAATAAAATAATTAACTGAACACATTCAGTACATCAAGATATCCACAGAATTATGTGCCCTACATAAATTATTTTTGAAAGTTTTGAAGTATTAAATGTTAGTCTAGTGTAATGAAATATAGGCAGAAAGGGGTTAAATGAACAAGCATACATTTCAGACCACCACACGGCGTACTAATCCATCACTGTGTGAAATGACAGAAATAGGTGATTAGAAAGCCATGGCCTAGCCAGCTATGCAGAACACACCGCCATGACATCTGACAGTGAGGGATGAAACATTCGACGAGTGCCCGTGAACTGTGACCAGCTGATGAGATACGTTCATCCAAACGTGACCACCAAAGACAGGTGACAGAGAAGTGATGGAGAAGGTACGCCAGAATAGGAAAGCGGGGGAATAAAGTTAGCCCCGGAAC